AATTCCCTTGTCACAGCAGCATTACGTGAAATAAATAAATACAGATATAAAAAAAACTATGGTAAAGTGGTAAAGCTGCAGGTATTAAATGTATGTAGTATCAAAAGGAAAAAAATCAGAACAATGTCCCAATGTGTGAGTGTATATATAATAATTATTACTCATGCATTAGCCCCCCAACTCCCTAGTCCTAACCCTAGAAATGGGGAACATAGGACCCTTTGTCATGGTCCCATCATGTGCCATATAAATCTGAGGAACAAAGGATTAACCCCTACATCCACCTGCAGATTGAAATAACCATCAATATGCAACTTTTAATGTAACTGAAAGCATCAAAATGTTAAAGCAGTGGATCTGATTCCTTTTATAAGTCATTATTATTATTATGGATTCATCTGATTATTTTATTGTTTGGTTTGTTAAATACTGTCACAATTAGTGATTAGTGAAAGTTCTGGCAATTTTGCATGGAAAATTATAAAACAATCAGTTATCAGAACAGTTGCTAATTATTTTTTGATAACCGCCTAATCGACTAACTAATCAACCAATCGTTAAAGCTCAAATTCTCACAACTGAGGAACCGAAGTGGGGAATGAATAGCTTGTTCTCCCCAGAAACGACTTAAGATTGATTATCTAACCTGTTGTGCTCGATGGCCTTGAATCTGGCACACATGGACGGAAAACAGCTGTTATTAAAGTTATTAATTACACTTGTGCAACACTTATCTTTCACACAGCCGCTTTGTAGTTGCTGCTACTGTCAGTCAAATAGCTGGTGAACAAATCCTGTTAAGAAAGAAAGTAGATGTTCCTTAAAATAACATGTAGGTAGTGTAATCCCACTATGGTGGCACAGGATGAGCGTTGTTATGCCAATTAGGGTTTATTTGCAGTGGCCATGGATTGTCAGTTTGAGTTATAAATACACAGCTGACGTGGACACAATTAGTGTTACAATTACAAACTAAAGTTACCTTTCACTGCAGACATGAACCACGAAACTGAAAAACAAAAAGGAGATATCCGATACGAAATGACTTGTACACAACATCGGCTATAACTTTTAATAGTGACAACACTGAGAAAAAAAAATCAAGTAAATCCAGTTATTCTGTAGTGCTTTGTGTGCAACATTCATTGTTATTGTCCTTGAAGAGTCATGAGAACTTGGTAAATACAAAATACAACAAAGCCATTTCATAGTTTCACTTTTATGCAAGCTGATTAAATCCATAATCACTGTTAAAATAAAACTACCTAAAAAAAAAAAAAAAAAAAAAAAAAAAAAAAAGGTAACAGATGAGGAAAAGAAATCGTAGTAATTCACATTCAAACTGAAATAATTTGACATTTTTGCTTTAACTTTCATTTATTCCCAACACCATCTGAGTCTGACCCAAATAAAATCTGAAACAAAGCCCCAATCAACTCCTCCACTGTCCAACTTTCATTTTTGGCAACAACTCTGTGCCAATATTTCCATCACAGGTACGTGAAGTAGAAATACTGGTTCTGCACAAGAAACTGGGCTTCAAAAAGGAAAACAGCTGTGAACTCCTTTTAATACGTGAGCTATGATTTATCATAAGCTTCATCCTTTTATCAGGCAGTGAGTATTCAAAAAGGAATGAGCAAAGCGAGAATTTTAGCTAAAAAAAAGAAAGTGAGAACGTGCTCCAGTTGTGCGAAACATCCAGTGGAACAGAGTGGTGACAACATGCTCAACGTAAACCAGAATGGACCTTTACTCGTAGATTTCAAAAACACCCTGACTTGTTACTTTTTGGCTGCAAATGTGAGTTAAAATGAAAAATTTAAATAGCAAAAGGTAACTGGTTAATACTTATTAGCAAAGCACATGACGTATGGCCTATACCTGAACAGTAAATGCATTATGTGAGCAGCAGGGAGCTCCATACAGCACGTCTTACACTCACCTGTTTCAGATTTTCCAGTCAATAAATGACCATTTCACCATGATCTGTGTTCTGAAATGCAACGCTAAAAAAAAAAAAAACACCTCTCAGCACACTTTAAATGTTTCTGTTTCAAAATATGCAGCAATATAAAACAAAACAAAAGTGTATTTTTTTTAAAAATGAGTTCTTACAGCATCATGATATCTGAAAATTACACACTAGAATTTAAAAAAAGTACACTCCTGGAAAAACCTGTACCGATGAAGAAAGACAAAAACGAAGCTACAGATTTTGTAAAATGTTTTGTTTTCAGCACCATTCTCTCTTTTTGTGTCCACTTTAAAATAAGCTCACTGATAAACCTTGTTACAACACTGGGAAAAAAAAAAAAAGGGGGGAAAGAAGAAGGAAAAAGTCCCATGTAAGTAATTTGGCTAATTTTCGATCACAATTTTGCAACGTAATGTTTTTCCAAATGCATAACCTCAAACTCAACGGCCACTGCCGGGTAAATTCATAAAAAGGGATGTCGTAGCGTATTTGTATAGAGATGAATCCAGCTTAGCAACTAAAGTTAACCAAACTATCTGTTTTTAGTATCGGAAAAGTTTCTGACACATCTTTCAATCAACAAAAGGAAATAATAAAAAAAAAACATGCTACATAACCAACATGATGAATAACAGTCAAACTTTGTGTGCTGCGTTTAAGACAACAGTGAATAGGATCACATCGTAGAGCAAATAATTCCTAGTGGTTGTTTTAAACTCTTTCCAGAACCAGACAGCAGCTTTTTATAACTTAAGTTTAGTCATTCAGATACGTTTCGGCAATCTGGTGCCTTTTTTTCTGACGACAAACACATCAGCCGCTATCTGGTGTAGCGTCAGTACAACCCAGCCTTGAGTACTCTACAACAGAATAAAACTAATTCTAAGAACTGTTTGCATATTTCACTTGACCCAGATGAACAGATTTGAAACCATCCCTAACAGACTAAAACGACGGTTTAATGACATCGGAGCACTGCAGTGGCGTTTCTGACTTTGAGAACTGACAGCAGTTTTAAGGAGTAATACTGAACGGGTTAGAGGCCGAACACAGCGTCTGCAGACTCTCCGTAGATGTCGCCGGACAATGTGAGGTAGAGGATCACACGAGCAGATTGACAGATAGACCAACAGTTGCCAGACGTGGGGCACAGGGTCGGTGGTGGTTGGATTTGTGAGAGGGAGACAAAAAAAGGACAACGCGGCGCTCACACTTCGCCGAAATTGGTGTGGCCCGTCTCCTTGGCGTGCTCGCGAGCTTCCTTTTGTCCCACCAGGCCCGTCTGGCACACCATGCAGCGCAACGCAAAGCGGTTAACGTCCGTGAACTGACGCTTGCGGCGAGCCTCGTCTGCCAGCTCGAGGGCCAGGGCCAGGATCACGTCGTCTGCGGTGGAGAAGATAGTCAGCGGCGGGGCGTCGGAGCCGGGCGTCTCTTTCTGCAGCGGGTCGTAGTGGATGCCGTCGTAGATGAGCAGCACGCGCTTGTGGTAGCCGGCGTCCTCCCCGAAGCGATCCACGCGGACTGTCTGAGTGTCCACCACGCAGATCTCGCACTGGTAGAACTTGGACAGGATGGACACCTCGATGGCGCCTCCCCACGTGTCGTCGCGTCTTATCCAAGAGCAGTACTCCTCGTTGGTCTTCCCCAGCACCGCCTCCGAGTAAGCCGCGGGGTCGCTGGACACGATCTGGGCGATGAGGCCTCGCATCTCGGGGGCGCAGGCGGGGTCGTACACGCCGCCCTCCACCACATAATACACGCTGGTGAAGAGGCAGGAGTTGTCGGCCGGGACCACTCGGCGCGCCAGTACGGGCGACGCTTCCAGGCGGGGTACTTTAGTCACAGTGGGATGATCCGGAGGCTTTGGCTTGTTTTTTTCTTCCTCAACAATGAGTGTGTCTCCTGGAGGGGACGACACAACACAGTTCAGCCTCGTCAGACACTCGTCTCGTTTAGAGCCAGCGATTTATTTACTGAATGTTTTGCATGTATATATATTTGAAATGTTTTATAACAACATCTAAATGCAGATTAAGTATATTAACATGAATTGAGTTTAAGGGACAGTTCACCTTAATTACAATAAGG